ACTTCCTCTCTTCAAACGCTCCTCCTTCACACCCGTAGTGTGTTCAACAAGTCTACCATTGCTTCCTACATTCTGTACAGAAAAATATTTTTTTCTCCCCACTCCCCTTTCTTTCCGATAGTCGCGGATTCCGGATGTCCACTATTGCTTTTCTTGTTAAAATAAATAAACAAATAAATAGTAATGCTTAATTGCTTATACATAATAGATATGAACACGTGATGCAATTGCAAAACTGTTACTCCTTTTTCTTAATTTCAATTTGTGATATTGTATTGTTAATGATGAAGTCTCACCGCGTGAGTCAGCATTTCCTTATTAGTATAATTACATCGATAAAATGAAAGATAATATGTTGACATAATTTTATGCATGCTGTATTTGTTATTTTAAAAAATCTGTGGTACATAATCCATATTAACATGACTGCCGTCATAGGCGATTTTGCACGATGCTATTTCAGCAGGATTTTGCAAGATATCGATATTTGACGATATGTTTCGATATTTTTCAATTCATCTAATTTATTTTACTCTTACATTATGCAGATTTGTTTTATTTTTATTAAAAAAGATAAAAGTGAAAAAAACTATTCTCATGTAGACCTCCTTTGCTATCTCGTGTACCGTAAAAAGGGGAGTTTAAGTAATTTAAATAGGCATTTCTTCATATAATTCTCATCCATGTAGCTCAAAATTAAATTTGCTTTATATAGATCAGTTACCAACTGGCTGCTTGCGGGCCGCATCCGGCCCTCGAAGCCTTTTTTTGTGGCCCGCGAACTATATTATTTTTCATTTTGTGCTGACAATTTTCGTAAAAAATCTATATGGGTTTAAAATACTTTTCTTTCGTTAAAAAAAAAAAAAAAAAAAAANTCTTCGAAAAAAAAAACTAATTTCTTCGTTTTTGTAAAATTTAGCATACCAACGGTGCAAAAAAATTTATTTCTCAGGTTTTGCACCCAAGAAAATATTTATTATTATTTATAATTCAATACTTTTGTTTCGAACAACTTGATAAAAATCTGACAGTAATATTTGATGATCCTTCAAACATAAAAAAAATCCTTTATAAAATTTTGACCAAGTTGCGGCCCGCCATTTGACTGGTGTTTTTAATTGGGGCTCCCGGCCTCACGTAAGTTGGAAACCCCTGATATAGATTGTATAATTTTCTAAATAGTAGGTCGCCGAACAATGCAAACTTAGGCATTTTACATCGCTTTTTCTAAGCACAATGCGTTAAGTGAGGTTAACAATGTTTAGAGAATTTATATGAATTTCGAACAAAAATACCAAGGACCCATGTTAAGTCGTCGTTCTAGCAACCGTAATTGTGAAATAGGATACATAAAAACTTCTCCAAATTCTCAAAAAAAGAATTTAAGGCGAAGTACTCGAAATTACCTAATAAAAACGGAATGCGTGATGTCGACTTACACCTATTCATATCGTAAAATATATTCCAGCATTGTTTTAGATGTCGACAAAATGTAAAAATAAAACAGGGTCAAAGTCGAGCAAAAGCGTGCATCTATCCATATATTTGACACGCATTTATTCCCTCGACAGTAGCTGAAAGTACTGTGCTTTTAGATTTAAATCAATTGTACCTTTATATGAATGCACATTATTTTTTATTCACTATAGTTTTTGTTTTGTTCACTAAGTCACTTTCACTAAGTCACTTTCACTAGAGATACGCTGTTTTGAAAGGGTCATTGTGAATAGTATGCACTTTATGCAAACACTGAAGAAAAAGTGGAATAACTCTTTACTTTTTTGTCGTTATTGATTAAAACAGTAGATAAAAACTCTCCTGTCCAACTTTCATATTCATTTTTATGGTTGGACAAACAATATTAGTGTTTTTTTTTTTTTTTTTGTTGAATTGTAATGGCAAAAGTTAAGTTGTATAGTTACTATGGAAATCGTCTCGCGGAAATGTCACCGTCTGTTCAGTGTTTTATATTCATACTCATTCATTTTAAATTTCTTTTATGAGCATTCACTTCTTTTTTATGCTACGTCCACTGTTATGATTTAGTCAACATTAATCTGAATTTTCGAAATATGTTCTGCGCAACTTTAAGGTTCCGTGGCGGGATTACTGAGTTAGGATTTTTTTTTTTAACTAATAATAATTATGTTTGTATTAAAGTAATTATCCATAATTTATTTAATATTTCGGTTGTTTATATGAAATTGTTTGCGTAAATGCCGTTGAAAATAATTATTTTACGACTACTTTATTTTTTAAATATTTAATTAGAGAAATAAGAGTCGCAGTAGCTGTTTGATACGAATTCTGCATCTCACAGCTCGCACCGAACACAGTTCTGAAGGAAGGCTAGTTTGTCTCAATGCTTGGTCCAGAAATTCCCTTGTCTTCTGGGCTGGGTTAAAAAATGACGACTGTTCAACGCCAGTTATAAAATAAAATGAGATTAGAGGAATGAAGATTTTTCATGATTTTATCATTAATTTTATATAAGGTTTTATGTTCGATAGTTAAATTTGCAGTCCTTGTGCTGTATCTTGTGTAGTTATGAATTTGTTTTTGGGTGCATATACATAAGCTGAAAATGTTATGGCTTCGAAATGAAAAGTAAAAAGAACTTCTATCAACGTTGAAAATGGTTTTTAGGGAACCATATTCCTTTATTAAAAAGTGAAATAATTTTATTTTAATTCGAAACGCTCGTTAAGAGATACTAATGCAGTATTTTATTAATGCATATTCTTTTCATAATTTGTTCAATATACTTTTTTTTACTAGAAACATAGTATTTTCTTTTAAAAAATGAAATTTCTATTCATATGCATATTACTTGAAATGATTTCAGGAAGACCTAACATTCTGAAAGATTAAATAAATTAGGAACCGTAGGTTGGATCTAAATATAATCATAATAATAAGTTTTAAAAATCATCACTGCATTACCCCTTTAACTCTTCCACGGAACCCTTAAGTTCCGCGAAACACCATTTAGAAACCTTTGGCCTAGGGGCAAGCTATCAAGAAAGAAAATAAAGGGTTATGTTAGATATGTAGTCAACAAAAAGGTTTTTTTTTGTTTTTGTTTTTTTTGGAAGTGTGAAGCTAATTTCCCAAAAATGGCAAGAGTTTTCTTTTGGAAAGAGGAAGATAACTTGGCTTTGAAGTGTGGCAAAGCAAACATGAGGCTGTTTTTCTAAGGCTCCGTCGTAATATGATAGAATACTTTTTTTGCGTATAATAGTCTATTTTTATATTTACTGTGAGTTTTCAACTGTTATGACCTAACATGACTGTTAGGTCAAGTTCAGCTTATCCCAAGCCAGCGCTATCTACGCTTATTTTTAAAATGGCCCATAACGTCAATTTGGAGGAAAGCCACAGCCTTGTGAAAATGAAAAGCTTTTGTGGTCTAATTTTTTAAGACATAAAAACTTACTCCAATGCTGCATTACCTGGGCTCATAAATTTTGCAAATACTGAGAATAAGGCAGTGATTTTGATAATTTTCATCTAGGTGGGAAAATGTCGCCAAATTGGCGATTTTAAAAAAAAAAAAAAGAAACTTTTTTAATAGCTTTTAATATATGTTATTTGTCTGTTCTAAAGCCCAGATAATTTTTCACGGTAAAATTATACATAGTTTAAAATCATCGCATTGTGTAAGGCACTTAAAACTACGGCTTTTTTTTTGTTGACATTTTTCATTATCTTTTTATTTGGCGACAGAGCTTCGAAAAACAGTGTTAAAAGGTTAATATCATAGGCAAGAAATAAGTTGAAATGATGTCCATTTTTCGCGCTCCTGTATTGATACCAATAATAAAAATCCATTTTGCCATCTCTCGTAAGACATTCTTCAATTAAACAAACAACAAACAGTGGAAGAAAAAAAAATATTTCCCCTTCAAAAAAAAAAAAAGTTTCTAGAGAAGTTATATATAAAGCTGTGTAGTAATTTTTAACACGTTATAAACTTATAATGTTTGTATCTTTGATATTAGTATTTTGATGTTGATTTTTAAAATTGGTCGTGACCCATGACTTCTCGTAATATTCCGTTCTCGTTTATCGTGTTTTTACTGTATCTATTTTAAATAGAAACAGTGTACTTGTAATTTTTAAATCCTAAAAGAATTTCATCGTGTACATTTGAGGGAAATTTATGCCAGTAATAAATTCATATACGGCCCTGAAACAGCACATGATAATTCTCGAAATGGCGGACAAGATGTTAAGTTCTGAATAATAAATTATTGAATTTTAACTTCCTATTGTTCGGTTTGCTAACGTCAGCCCGATGAAAGAGAAGATTTTTCAAGGTTCATTTACGAAAAATCATTTTTTACTCCCTCCTATCAATTAGGCGTGTTCATCAAATCATTAATTTGTCATTATTTGAGGTACTTGGATTACGAAGACGTTGAAAAAAAAAACAACTTCAAATCGAACTTTTGTCCTCTTGGTAAACTTTCACGTCACGTCCTTGTAGAATTGCAATTCTTTTGCCATGCCATTAACGTGACTTAGATCATTTCTAAGAAATCCTCTTGCTTAAAAATGATGAGATCTTAAAAAAAAACTGGTTCGACGAAAGTGAAAACTAGAGGGAGATAAGCTAAGCGACATGCAATTCAGAATGCATGTAGCAATAGCGAAGGACTGCATTGTAAAACGTGAAATGGAACAGAAGCTTTTGTGCAAGTGTTAAATCTTTTTCAATTAACCCTCCTGGAAGTTTTAAATTTTTTTATGTTCTGTTATTCGCTTATTTCTAAAACTAAATTATTTGATGACATGAAATAATTTTCAAGCTGATATTCTTGCTATTAAAATTTGATGTTCAGAATGATTCTTATTTGTTTAAGTACACAGAAGAATTTTTGATTTACTTCAATATATTTGAATTTTTGTTATGTACCAGAGGTAAAAGGCTTATTAAATTACGTACATTTTGGGATGTTAATATTGTGAAAATTTTAATTACCCTTGGAATATCATTGTCGACTTTCCAGCTCGTATGGTATGTAAATACTTATGTGTTATTTAAGTTTTTATTTATATAGATATGAAAAGCTTAGTTAGGTTATGTTATATCAAATTTCTGATTTTGAGAAAAACAGCTTTAGAATGTAGAGATGTTTGTTTACAAAGCAGTAAAACAAATATTTAAAAAAAAAAATTAACTTGACGAAATTATTTTTTAGTATAGACGTGCTCTTACTCTCAAAAATATATACATTTATGATTTATAGTACTTTGACTAAGATTTTTATGTACGAGACTATACTATCTTTTTAATTTGTGTTTATTAAGATTGTAGATTAATCTATATGGGTTAATGAGTGAGTTAAAAAAAATCTGTGTATCAAATGCGAATTAATTCTTATATTCATACTTTTATATAAGAATACTTTCATATAAATACTTTCATAGGGGAATGTTATTATTATTTTTTAATTAATTTTTTTAATACAATATTTTAAATAATATTAACACAGCAGTTCTCAAATGATGTTCCGTGTAAAAGTTAAAGGGGTTCCGAGAGTTAAGACCCTTTTTTAAGCCGTTAACATTTTTTAAAACTGTAATTTTATTTTGATACTATCAATAATCTAATATTTATTAATTATTCCGATTGTCTTTATGAAATTATTTAAAGTAAAATGCAAGAGAGAGAGAAATTAAATTTAAAAAAAATATCAAATGACAACAATTATGAAAAAGACGTGCATTCATAAAAAATTTGAATAATATTTCACCTTACGACTTTCAAATCAAAATAACTGAATTCTTTACTGAAATATGTTTCTCAAAATATCATTTTCAACGTTTATGCCATTTTTTGTTTTTAATTTTATATCAATAAACAATAAAACCAATTTTTTGTTAAACTAGATTCACCTCCAAGATAAAAAAAAATAAAATGAAAATGAAAAAGATAAAATAACGATGAATGAAAAAGCGTTGGAAAATTTAATGCCTCTTAGTAAATATAAAAGAGTCGGAAATCAAAATAAAATAGTCTTTTAATGCAGTGTTTCCCAAAGTGTGGTACGCGTACCCCCAGGGGTACGGGAACAGTTTAGAGGGGGTACGCGTTCTTATGCGAAATATCTTTCAACAAACGAAAATTTCAAAAAAAATTTATTTAAAAACAAAGCTAACCATGAAAATTTACGATTACGTATTTTTCTATTGGCTATTTTTTGCAGAATCAACAGTTAATAAGTTTTGGTGTCAACAGCCAGTTGTGATTTTTAACTTTTGTGCAATTTTTTATAATAAAAAATACATTCATTTTTCTATTAGTGGTACACAGCGTTACGAAAAATTTAGAAAGGGTACACAAAAGTCATAAGTTTAGGAAACACTGTTTTAATGCGTATACAATTGTTTTTATTTACTCTATTTTTAACTAAAGTCGGGGTTCCATCAGAAGATGGCTGATTGTTTAGGGTTCGGTACCCTAAAAAAAATTGGGAACAGCTAATTTAACCTATAAAAAATATGTATAACGAAAAATATTTCTGTTTTTCCCTCTTTGTATTTCATACAGCTTAATCCGCTCTTATATTGCTCTATAACAATTTAATTTCTGTATTAAACCTCCGGTCATTTTTACTTTTCTTGCCTATAAGCTTGGATGAAAAACATCTTAAAACGTTGAAAAACAATAACGGTAAAAGAAAAAGCTACGTCAGGAGAAAACAAATAATGATTAGTATGTTATTTCATACAACAATTAATGTCGTAACATTAATCTCGCACATGGCGGCGCTTGCTCTTTCCGCTTATTTTGTGTTGATTTCATTTTCGAGAGGCGTTCGTATTAGTTTTGTCTTCACTCTAGAGTTTGGCGGGTGATGTTCCGGAGATCGGGTACTGTGGCTGCGATCCAAATTTGAAGCTATTTTTATAAAAGGGAAAATGAAGCAAGAATAATGGTAAGCTTTATTCATTTCAAAATGAGAAGATTTCTCAAAAATATTCTACGGACACTTTCGAAATCGATTTATTTAACCACCGTTAGGGAACTGTTGCTATTAAACAGTCTGGTAAACAAAGGCGGATTTCAATGAATATTATACATAAAAAAATTTTTGTTCGCGGATTAAAAGTAAAGAAGGTTAACTGCTAATGTGAGTCTGTGTTGCTTAGAAGTGTATACGATGTGTAATTTTTAAATGTATAATATATTTATTGCTCTTCTGCAAAAATATATTTCTTAAATAATTAATGTCAGTAAATTTTAAGTTAAGTTATAATGTCCCTGAAATTTCTTAAAATGTCACAGATCATCAACTCCATGTTCTGATAGTTTTTGCAATTATTTAAAAAAATTTAATTATAGGACAAGTTAAGATAAAAAATTTCTCCTTTTTATTAAAATTTTTTTTTGAATCTTCTTTAACAGTATATATTTTGTTTGGTACAATCAAAAGAATCAATGGAAACGAGGTGCTTTTCTGAATTTTATATTTTGACAGTTATCTTTTAAATTTTTGTCTGGTATCAGTGTAAACAAATTTTTATTCTATGCATGCAGTATGTTTTTATTAATGATTCTAGTAATTTTAAAATACAATGCTTTGATAAAAGAGCATAATTAAAAAAATACTGAACAGTATTAAAAATTAATTTGAAATTTAATTAGTGCATATTATTTTATTTAATGCTGCATTGTTATGCTTGAAGCTTCATTGTGCTCAAATAAATTTCAAACAGGAAGTTTATTCTTTATTTAATGTTAAATCATTAGTACTAAAAAATATATTTAATTCACTATTTAATAGGTATATATTCATATTTCATTAATCAATTATTTTAAAATATTTAATTGTAAAAATATGTTACCATATATTTACCATTCTTTTTTAAGTGGAAAGTAAAAATTTGTATTTTTTAAATTGGAAAAAAATGGACTTGATCATTTTTAGTAATAAATTGTCACAAATGTAGTAAATTGAATACTGCTAATTAATGACATTAGATAATACTGAAGTATGATATTTTCGAATATAGAGGCAAAGGAAAACTCATTCTTTTACATACATAACTATTATATAATTTTGATATTAAATATTTGCTTGCATCTTAAGTTGAAATTTAAAGTAATGTAATAAACATATTCAAAATTTCCAGTTTTTCTCTTTTGTCATGTAAGCCCGTTTTCGGAAAGAAATTCGATATTTTTTTATTGTTTATTTATTATACCATTGAGTAGTTAGTAAAATTTTCACGACGCTTGAATAATAATAATTTAATAATAAATAAAGTTAAATTTTTTAGCTAAAATTTTCATCTGAACATAGACGCAATTTATTTTCATAGACAGGCACACATTCTTTCGTTTCTTGGTGTAGAACAGATTTCTTTCTTGTTAAAAATTTTTTCCACGCTTCTTCAATATAAGTTATTAAATTCTCAGGCTGTTTCTAAATTAGTTGAATTAAAACCAAAAAATTTAAGTTTAGAAGATGTTAAAGCGAAAGTTTTTTTTTTCTTTAGATAATCTTGAAAAATGGAATATTTACAATGCTAAAACTCTTTCATAATACTTGGTTTTATTACTGGAAAAACCATATTCTGCTTCACTGTTAATTATTTTACTCAAAGGCTATAAAATTTTTCCAAGTAAAAAAACTGAAATCAAAGTCAAGTGTTAGAAAAATATGGCTTTAGTACCGACGTCTGAGTTATAGATAATGCGTCAGAACAGAACCAAGCCAGAATATACAAAATGAATGCAATCAAATCGGATTAGCTGGACTGGAAAAAAAAAAGCTATAAATATGCCGTCATCTTGATAAATCTATGTGCAGTGCAGGGGAAAAAACAACCAAGACCACCCTGAATAACCAAATAAACATACTTTTTTTAAAAAGTATGTTTATTTGGTTACCTTTCTCTCAATAAGCATACCTTTTTTTCGACGAATCTGGATTTCTGACCACCAAAGTATAGGTTTTTTTTTTTCGCTATCTGGGTAATATGGTCCTAAAAGTTTGGTCAGATGACCGGTCCTAAGTTTGGCCCTCTAATCTTAATTTTGCTTATTTTTCTATATCTCTTGGAACTTTTCTAGCGAATTAAAAAAAATTTGCACACAATTATGAAATTCGTTTATCTTAAGATAATTCAATGCAAAAACTAAATCATAGTGAATATTTTTTTAAAAATTTATTTAATAGTACCCCAAACAATTTTTTAATTGTAAGGTATACAATTTATTACATCATTTTACAGTACTTAATTTCACATGGCAAAATACAAAATTTGAGCGAAATCGGATGAATAGTTCATGAGAAATCGAATTTTAAATATACGACTCTTTCACAAATTTTTTTTCTCTGGAACTATTCATCCGATTTCGCTCAAATTTTGTATTTTGCCATGTTAAATTAAGTACTGTAAAATGATGTATACAATTTTTATACTTTACAGTTCAAAATTTTTTCGACTATTATTTAATAACATAATAAAAAATAACAAAACATTTACTAAAATGTATTTTTGCATCAAATTATCTTTAGATAAACGAATTTTATAAATGTGTGCAAAATTTTTTCAATTCGCGTAAAAAGTTTTCGAGATCTGGCGAAATATGCAAAAATTAAAATGAACATTATTTGGTGAAAACTTTGAATCGCTCTCTTGACCAAACTATTAGCACCATATTTCCCAGATTTCGGCTATATTTTGGGGGTCAGAAATATGGATCCGTCTGTGGAAAAAAAGTATGTTTATACAGAAAAAGTACGTTTTTATGTCTGGTTTTGTAACAAAATATCGTCTGACCTGAATAATTAGCAAATTTGAAGTCACTCCCTCAAACCATTGAGCTTGAAGATTCGTTTATTAGATCTAAAGTTATTCAGGATGGTGCGTTTTTTCTTCTTCTTTTTCTGCGCAGTGCACAACACTCAAAAATTGGCCGGATATATAAGATTGACAGGCAAATAAATGTAATTTAAATCGTGACCTTGACGGCGCATTAGTTAAGGAAAATAATGAACTTAG